TTCTACCCACCGAACTCATCCTCCAAGATAGCATACCTAATGAGCTTCCTAAACCAATTAAACAGAAGCAGGAAGCATCAGTCATCAGCACTATTTTCAGCTAATCAGCTGACTGCACAAGCCACATGGCATTGAGGTAAGGGGAACACCCTAAAAGTTGTGGGTTTTTTCACTGTCCTGACTTTATTTCTCAGTTTTATGGATGCAGCTTCTTGCAGGGAACACTGTAAATGAGTAGAGTGCCTTACGCTATATGAAGTGCTTTCCCTTGCATTCAGTAGAATAAAATAAGTTTTAATGGGCTTAAGTGATTTGCTTAAAGGCACACAATTAATGTATGTGTGGGACTCAAAATCATGCCCTTTCCTGTGTTTAAGTGTTCTATAAATATGTATGTATCGATCGACTTTCTACCTTCCATGACTAGGGAATAGGTTCAGGGGTTCAAATGCCACATCTTTACAATTTGGGCAGACTCAGAGCCAAGACAGGATGAGGATGAAGGGAAATACGTTTTACCCCTGCATGGGTTCTCTTTTTCAAAGACAGAATTGGGGTACTGGTATCAGCTCCAATTGGTTATAATGGTAATAATGATCTAAATAACTAACCATTACTTGAGCACTCACAATATGTTAGCACTTTATTAAGTCCAAATAATAGTCTCAAAGCCTTCCACATTGATCTTTTTTTAAAGATGCAGAGAATGTAGACCCAGAGAAGTAATGCTAAATTTTTCAATGTTGTAAATTTTGAAAAATGCTTATAACACGTTCTATATTTTATGAGTAAATGGGACGACTATCCGTGGATGTGATGAAAAGAAGAGAGATTTGATGCAGTGTGTGGCATGAGTGTATTTACTGTAACATGACTGATTTTCATATGCTATTTATAAAAAGTGGCTTCATGATCATTCTGTACGGTCATCTTATTTGTGGGTGTTGCCTTAAATGGGCACATGTGGAAATTATTTTGTTTCACTTAAAGACATGTGGGGGAAGGCTCCTCTTTGACACAAGAGAAGCCTATGTATATTTCTCAAAAGTGACTTAAGAATAGCATGAGAAATAACACTTGCCCGTGGAGGCGGGGCCAACAGAGCACTGGGGGAGTGATTTGCATGCTGCCTCCCAGGCATTGGAGAGGGAGAGCATTGTAAAGAGCTGATTCCCTGGGAAAGAGGAATCAGGGATGATTTCATTGCGTGGTGACCCAAATTGTGAAGTTAAAGTTCCCTGCCTACTCTAGAAAAAAATGAATATTTTATATACATAATTTTTGACACTAGATTCCTATTCCTAGATCTTCATTTAAAAAGGTAATTGGAATACCCTTATGTTTGTTGATGGCAAACATCAATATCTTGGGGAAGTATTTCTTGGCATAATCCTTCAATGTTAATTTTTTGTTTAAACAACTTTTTAGATGCTTCTAGGAGCCCAGGAATGAGATTAACTTCTTTTTAAAATTAAAAGGAAAAATAAGTTAGGAAGATCACAATATGAAACCTTTAGTCTGTTTTTCTTTTCCTGATTTTCACATTATTTCCTTTATATTAATTTTACCTTACTGCATATTCATGAAGACTGACTGAAATAAGAACTATGTATTGAGTACTTTTTAAGAACTAAGGCTATGTCTTCTCCTTTTATGTGAATTATAGCCTTCAAAATATATATGTGTTGTATAATATGTACCCAATTCATGTCATTGAATAAATAAGTAAATTCATCCACCAGTCAATAAGCATGAATCCAAAAACTGTTCTAGAATATCATAGCCTCTGAAGACTAGAGTAAAAGTGAAGGCACTTACCTTAGATCTAAAGCATATGGAAGACAGAGTAATTAATAAATTTTTTTCAAATTTCAATGAATCAAAACTTATTTATTTAGTATCTGTAATGTAGAAATCCCTTTAGCTCATGATTGGGAGTATAAAAATGATGAAATCGGGGTCTCATCTTTCAGAGATTAACCATTAATCAGGAAGGCATGGCATATGCTTAGGAAACTTAATTAAGTGCCCATGAATGGGACACATAGATGTATGTAAAAGATCCAAGAAATAGGTATGGAGTGGGAAAAGAGTTATTTGAGTTTGAACTTGAGGGTTAGGTATAATATGATGAGTTGAAATAGAGGAAAGGGGGATTCTATGTGGAGGGAAAATAAGAATTGGAAGTGAGAAGAGTATAAAACAAGCACAAACAAAATTGAAGACCTACAAATTCACAAAATTTCCCTGTGGAAAGCAAACTGATTGCTGAGGGGCAGGACTTGGGTGCCAGGGTACTGTATATAGACATAATTAACAGAAACAAAAACAAAATTTTGCAGCAAAAATTTGAACTTCATTTTCTAGACCTCATATCCAAATGCATGTCAGTAGGTGTTGAGTAAAGGGAGGAGGTAATTTGCTTATGTAAATTTAGAAAATGTGAGGCAATGCTCAGCTCTTCAACAGGATGGCTTGTTGTGTGCTTTCTCAGTAGCTTCCAGTTTGTGGATATCAAGAAAGGACCACCGTAGGAATTTCACAGATATTTTACTATAGGATCACTTTCTGTGATTTGTCCATCTGTAGTCCTATTTCTCCTCTGGACACATGTTGGGAATGAACAGTTTTTGATAGTTAAGGGTCACAGGGAGCATTGAGGAAAGAAGGGTTGTGGCAAAAGCACTGATATGGGGAATATCATATGGTGGTAGTAGGTGGAGAGACTGATGTCCCCTGCAATAAAGGGTTGAGAAGATGTAATGATACACGGAGAGTGGAGATGAAAGTTTATTTTAAGATACAAAGCAGTAGAGTACATTTTTAGATCCAATCACTGCTTAGAGATGAAGTATTATAGCAAGAGCTGGAGATAAAGACTTGGGTGTAATTTGTGTTCAGGTGAGAGCACAGTCTGTTAGGATGGGTTCCCAGAAAGGGACTACGAAGGAAGAACAGAGGTTTCCACTCTTCATGGAAACATCTTTATTTTCTTGGAAGTGTGAGGAGAAAGATGATTGAGGTAAGACGAAATAAGAATAGTTTAGTCCAAAAAAGTGGGATTTGAGTAAGGATCTTGCTGTGAAAAACTGGTTTTTGTTGTTTAGAAATGTACTGGGGATTTTTGCAAGATAAATTTTACAATAATTGTGAGAATGATAATGAACATTGGTGGAAGTGTGATGATTGAGAAGTAAGAAAATGAACATTGTAAGGGAGAACTTTCATGAAGAGGACACAGACACTGACCCTATTAGAGGAAGACGGGATTATTGGGAACCCGGAAGTATGGGTCAGATGGAATTTTGAATACTTTTGATGAGTTGATATAAGAAATGGATGATTACATCACATGTTCATGGGCTTGAAAAACAGTGAGAGGTACTATAAAAAGCCAGAGAAAATGAAAAGTAAAAAAAAGGTAAAATCTCATAGCTTGTTTCCCAGGGGTATGATCTTCTCAGTGAGGTGGTATCTTATGGAATATTAAACTCTTGTTTGGAGGAATATGCTAGAGAATCAGAGGAGACCTCTTTTTAAATTTAATACCTAGTAACACATTTAGGAAATGACAGTAAATAGAAATAAGTTCTGACCAGAATTTTAAAATTATTGTCAAATTGTTTCACCATTGCATTTTTGTTAGAAAGTTAATCTTGAAGAATTATAATATTTTGGGGGCACTGGGTGGCTCAGTTGGTTCAGCATCTGTCTTTTGCTCAGGTTAGGATCTCCAGATCCTGGGATCGAGCCCCACATCGGGCTCCCTGCTCAGTGAGCAGTCTGCTTCTCTCTCTACTTCTGCCCCTCTCCCCGACTTGTGTTCTCTCTCTCACTCAAATAAAAAAAAAAATCTTGTCAAAGTCTGGTTGCTTTGATGTAAGTGTTCTTTAAATGCTAAGCATGTTCATCTTAGATGTCCTGAGGATATTTCAACCTATGTTTTTCAATTTGAAATATTATCCTTGGGCTGTGTGTTTCATTATTATCTGCTAAACAATACTACTGTCTAGAAAATCTCTTAGAAGTAACAATCCTGATATTTCATAAAGTACCCTGAAAACTTAAATGCCCATTAAGTATTCGGCAGGGGTACATTTCATTCATAATATAGCAGAACCTTCTAGTGCTCATGCTTGGTCATGTGTTCTCCAAAACTGCCTTATGGGGGTATATGTCATCTATTGAATAATTTTACTCAGATTTAGCTTTAAGTAAAATATTCTATTATTCATAACATCACCTTCTTGAAAAGGGGTTCAGGCATTTCCAATATTATTCAAAAATATTACCAGCAGTCTTGTGCTGTAGGGGAAAATGACTATTCCATCTATTTTGCTCATATAAGTAAATGAAATGCTTGAGAGCCGAGAACCAAGAAGTTGGTTAAATTTCATAAGTGATTTGTAGAAATGGAAGTAGGATCTATGTCTTTTGCTCTAAGGTTCAATTCTGTGCCATAGGCAGTGGACAATGCATTTGATCCAAGAAAGTTTAAAGCTATAAATGTAAATGCCCCAAATTCTGCATTCTTTTAATGAAAACTTTTCTTGAAGAATTTTACTCTGTTTTGAGAAATTTTGGATTCTTGGTTTACAACACAGCACAACAGTATCAGCCAATACACTGCGAAGGGAGTTGTGTTGTACTGAAGTTTGATTTACCGTGCTTAAACATGTTAATTCAGAGCAAAAGGAGTCTCCAGGCAAACTCTCCAGGAGCAAGAAGACTGGTTTATTTGTTTTCCAAAGCCTCAGCCCAAGCTTGATCACTGATTTCACATGCAGATTGTAGATCTTCATAGCTGTAAGAACTTGCCCATTATTTATGATGATTTTGGTAGTTTTAATTTTTATTACAGACTTGATTTGGCCAGTTGTTCTCATCAAAATAGTAGATCCACATCATAAAATGATTCTAATTCCCACATATGTTTCTGAGTAGCTTTCTTAGGTGATTTGAGTTTGCTGTTAATACGTGTTTTTGGTATCCATGTTTAGTTGTTACAGGGTAGGTCACCCAAACCCGACAAGTGGCAGCATCAGACGGGCAGTGGCGGTGGCATGGTTGAACAGGTCAGCGGGGACTGTGATGATGAAGATGGTTGTGGGGGATCAGGAAGTGGAGAAGTCAAGAGGACCCTAAAAATCACAAACTGTAAGTGTGTGGTTCCATCACCACTTCTAAAGAATGAATTTTGAAGTCTAATTTTGAGGATAATTATTAGTATGAATGCAAATGAATAAAGACAGTGAATTCAGAAGCATGCAAAAGGAATTGGAAATGACAGTGAACCCATTTTTAGTTATTCAGGACCTGTATTCTTGGGAATGTTATTTATTTTTAACTAATGGCTTTAAATGGAAATAGCGTTTTGTTTTTTTGTTTTTGTTTTTTTTTCTGTGAAAGATTTGTGAACGACCAGTTCCGAGAATTAAAGTTTTTAAAGTTGGATAATTCTCAGGGCTTGAAATAATGAGCTGGGTGACTATTAAGTGTCTATTGGTAAATAATGTGGAATCAGGATGGGTAAACTCTTCTAAATAATCAAACTCTGCAACTTCATTATATTTTGTCATTCTATAAGAAATAATCTTACTAGGTTTTCATCATAGTTGAATTACAAAGAAACTGGTTAAATGTAGGGTTATTTATAATGAAAAACTACTTGGATTTAACCTTACGAATTTGTTCTTCTCCAAAACTCTCACCAATCATTCACCTCATTCCAATTGTCTGGGTTTGAAACCGTTTCCAGTATTGAGGGACTGGTCACCCCCACAAAAGTGGAACTTCCAAATGACAACAACAACAAATCACCAGATGAGTTTGGTTTTCTTTTCTTCATTTTAAAAAATGAAGAATGTTGGCTCTTCCTTGTTACATACATGCAGATGTTCGGATGGGCAAGACAACCGAAGCTGTCACCTGAGAAAGCAGTGTGCAAGTTCATGGGTCCAAGGGAGCTACCTTTCAGCTCTTCATTTATCTGAGGTCATATCAAAGGTGATTACTTTATAAAGTAATTTGGTGGACCTGTGCAGCCCTATCTGGAGGCTGGTCAGATAGTCTCCCTCTAAATCACAAAGGGCTGCTTTGAAACTATTAGACATGTCCTTTCATGACTTTGGTGGGAGAAGAATTCATTTACTTTTCACTTCTTGTAGTAAATTTAGAACACTACACATGCTTCAAACATCAATACTCCATTCTTCCTAGGAACCTGTTTTATAAGGCAAATATATTGGTTAAAGGAATGGAAGCCTCAGAGGTGCAAAATCCAAAGGGCAATTAATATAAAGAAATATGTTTTCCTGTTAGACACAGAAAGTAAATAGATGGGGTTTAGTACACGGCAGCAGCAATGGAACAAAGGACCACAAAAATTTCTTGATATATTAGGAAATTGCTTTCCTAGTGAAAATTAAGTATCTTCTACTTGTGTAGGAGCAGATAAGGATATGTGCTTTTGTTATTGGTATTAATATAGTTTATCAGATTGATTCTTCTCTTTTCTGTATTTTGCTGTTTAGACCAAAACAATGAAAAAGGAAGAAATAGAATAAGCAAATAAAAGTGTTTTCTAGAAAAAAAAATTCTTATTAAGAGTTAAAATGTCCTCCATCGTATTTTAGAATATTGATACTTACCTATTAGGTTAATATTAGTTACTCTTTCTTTTTTTTTTTCATTTTTTCTTGAGTATTTATGTGTATCGTAATTTCATTGTCATTTGAATATTAGGGTTTTAAAGAATAAACATTATTATAAAAAGTTTAGGTTGAAATTTCATCTATAAATTATGTGTGTGTTTAAGTGTAGAATTAGCATTTTTATAGGGATTTTTTCATTCTTGGAGTTATTTATAAACTCAAGAACTCCTTATGTATTAATAGATAACTCTTGTTTTGCTTGTTTCATAAGGGAAGTTGAGACAGTGGAGGATATTTAACTACTAATAATTTTCACACAAAACCATACTTGTCAAGGTGGCAAGAATGTATTTTTACTTCAAAATCCTGTTTTCAGTTATTACTGATGGGGACAGGTGTGGTACGAGCAACTATCCGTCAGAATTGGAGAGATTTAAGAGATAGATGGTTTTCAGCAACTCCAGGCAAACATTAAAAAAAAATCCACATCTGCTGTAAGTGGGCTGCTTCTCATGTTTCTCAGAGTTTATAGCTGTTGCCTTTCAATTTTTAATAAGTGGTTAGGAAACCACTGTGGATAGTAGGCTGAAATAAACAGGGACAGAGAAAGTAGCAAAGCAGAGGTCACATTTCTATTTTTATAAAACACTATCATATTTTCCTTGTGTTTGACTCATTTGATACATTGCTAAAGCAAGCTAAGACATAGTTTTGGGTGGTCTTAATGACTTAAAACTCACGTGCTCTAGCAAGTTTACCTGGTGTCATTTGTGTAAGGGACTTGAAATGCACTATTATTTCTTCTGTACACTGATGTGATTCTTTATTAAAAAAATTGTAAGTAGAATACATTTCGTTTGTCACCTCAAAAATGTCTCATTAAAAATAGTTACACATATATGTATGTATGTGTTTATAGCCATATATATATATATACATATGGAATGATACTAATATTGTGTTCTGCAAATTTAATTTTGCTCCATTTATGAGAATTTTCAAAGTTGATGAATATTTTACTAATTATATCTTGACTTGATATTCTGTCTGCATTTGTTTGTGTTGATTTCAGAAAAAAGTGCAAAGTTTTACCATCAAAATATTTATATACTTTTTAGGTATGATTTAGTTTTCATCACTGATGGTATCAAATAATTTAACAAATATTTAGCTCTTAAAACTGATGGCTGTCAGTTTTCAAATGATAGCTGACGTGTTTCTTATAAAAAGCAGCCACCTCTACTGTACAGTGTTTACTCTTTGGAAACTGAAAACATTTTTTATTTCAGTAAGATGATTTAAAAATCCCAATCTTCTAGAAACTTTTTTTTTTATTGTATTGAATTTGGCTCATTTGTGTAGGCATAGTTATTTCACTAGTAACCTGGAATTACAGGATATAAATGGCTTTGAACCTTCATTTTGCTTCATCTCTGACACTCACCCTCCTTTTAAGGTTGCTAATTGATTGCAGGTTCTAAACACCAATGGAGAAAAACAAGTTCTGTTCTTTTAGCCAGGCAGAGCAAACCTACTGACACTATCATCAATACTTTTTCAACTACTTGACTATTCCCCTAATATCCCCAAATTCTGATAGTTTCAAATGAAAAACAACCCAGAATGCCACTAAAACACAGCTGTCACAAAACCATTTCATGTATAGTTTTAGAATAATAGCACTGCTTGCAATTCTCATGTGATAATATAATTTGAGTTTCCATTTTCGAAAACAAAGACTATGTAACCTGTGACCAAATTCATGTTGATACAGTGGTTTACTCTGGTAACGCAGACAAAATGAATTTGACCACAAGTTGATTCAGATACAATACATTCAGGAATAGTAGGGTGATTTTCAGTCTTCCGATGGCCTGAGATAACTTCTATTGTCATAGTCACCATTGCTCCTATAACGTTATATCGTGTGTTTAGCAGTATTTTGTGTGTGTGTGTGTTTAGCAGTCTTAAAGATAATTTTAACTGAGTAGCTGTAAGTGACAACAAAGATCGCTAAATGTGTATTCAGATGTCTTTTGGCCTGTGGAGCTCTCAGAATGCCTCTGCAGAAGTTCATTGTGTGGCTCCTTCAGGACTGCCAGCCGTTAGTTTCTTATTTCATGAGCGTCTCTTCCTCTTCTCTTTTGTGGGTTTTCATTGTCAACCCAAATGCTAAGAATTTGAAGAATCCAGGACTCAGTTCTCAAAACTTTTGTGTCATCTCTGTTCTCAATGATTCCGTGTTCCACAAACTGCTAACCACGCCCTAAGAAAAGTAGGGATGTGTTACCAGCCATTGACAGCACCCTCCAGTTTATGAAACATTCCCCTGTGTGTTATCTCAGGAAGTAAGCTTATGAATAGTACAAGTATTCAACATAATGGAGATTAATTTGGAAGCAGAAGAGTAATACACTGAAATATAGTTACTAGATCTGGAAAGAAATTTCGGTTCACCTTCTGTTGCCAAAAGTAAATAGTTTGTATTGGCTTTGGATTTGCCACTTAGTAATTAACCTTAGAGCAACTTCTAACAAATGCATCTACAGCATGGTATTAACAGTGACCTTGGAAGAGAATACTGTATTCCATGTGCATGGTAAAATGAAAATAATATGTTGTTAACCACTGAAGAATAAAGGTTGCTGATTTATTTAGTAATGCAGGATTATAGAGTGAGTGAAAATTGTTGGCTTCCTTAAACTTATTTTCACCGTAAATCACCTTTATTTCAAAATCTCGGGCATAGAGGTTAGGGAGAGTTAAAAAAAAATTACAAGTGGCATTTTCCTTAGAAAATGCAATCTTTATTTTTTCTTCCCAGAATTACTAACACTATGTAATTATTCATTTTGTAGAAATTATTTTATATTATCTGCTGATGATTTTTCTTTCCAATATAAAATATGTCAAACAGATAATGCAAGCATGTATTTGTCTAGATTAATAATAGTTCCAAAGGGGGCACCTGGATGGCTCAGTCAGTTAAGTGTCCAACTCATGATTTCTGCTCAGGTCATGATCTCAGGTTCATGGGATCGAGCCCCGCATGGGACTCCATGCTCAGCACAAAGTCAACATAATATACTGCTTGAGATTCTGCTTGAGATTCCCTCTGCCTCCTCCCCCTCTCTCTTTCTCTCAAATAAATAAATGATCTTTAAAAAAGTAGTTCCAAAAGAATAATAGTTCCAAATAAGCATATTAAAAGTATGTATATTCTTTCTAACATTAACGTGTCACCAAATTCAGTTAAAATAAGATGTACTTGGTTTACTTTGCAAAGTGAGATAAATAGCCCTTTAATAAATTATCCTCCACCTAAGAAAGTTTACTGAAAATAACTAAAGAGTTTATGTGTTTACTTTATTCAGTGATGCTAAAAATTAATCTTCTTTATAAGGTTACTTAGATTCAAACATTTGTGACACAGTGAAAATAATCTTGAAAAATGGCTGTACCCTCTAATGTATATTTTACAGTGCTTATGAAGGATCATGATAA